GCTGAGGTCTACTTGTCGGCGGCGTGCTCGCTCACTGCCCCCTTTGCCGAGGTTGTTTTTTACGTTGAGTCACAACAACAAAATTGAAGGAGCAACGTGTCGTAATAACTCTCCCCAATTGTCTACATGTATACACTCAGAGATAAACTGCGAAGTCAGTTTAACATGTTAAAATTACTCACTGAGAACAGGGCTTGTGGACGGCGGAAAAACTTGCTCATTGAACCGGATGTGGTACCGTTCTTGTGCTTGTACTTATTCTTCTTCTTGGTGAATTGGATGTCTTTCGTTCATATCGCCCCCTACTGTCCGGGAAACCACAAAGGCGTTTGGCAAGCAATCTGAATTTAATTTACAGTATTAGCCAAGCGTGCAAAAACACAAAACACTAAATTAGGGCATATCGTGAAGAACCACAGATGTCAAGGGCAGCTGATCCACTGAGCTGGTGGAAATACCGAGCTTCCGTCTACCCCCGTTTGTTCAAAGTAATGGAGAGTAGATTGTGCAGTGTAGCAACATCTGTGTTCTCAAAGACTGGACAAATTGAAGTGTTCCAAGTTGAAGTATTTAGTTTTGTTGACTGCAAATTTAAAATAAAGCAAGGAGTATCTTATGTTTGTTGAAATAAAGCAAGGAGTAGCTTATGTTTGTTTTGTTCACTGCTGCTGTTGCAGTTAATAGTCACTATTTTTGTTATGATGCAGCATGTTTGATTGTTGTTGGTTGAAGTTTAATTTTGTTGCTTGTTTATTGTTTGGAGCCTTTTTAATGTTCAATAAAATAAGTAAAAAGCCATTTCTTGATAATTGTTGCTATTTGCAGTCAGTAGAGTGCAATATTTAGTTCACCAAGTCATTTATCAAAATGTATGCTAAATTTGTCATAAATATTTAAAAGAAAAGCTAAAGTTAAAAGAGCCGTTTGAGAGCCAAAAAGAGCCGGCTCTTTTCACTGAGGCGATCCAAATGAACCGGATCACCGAAAAGAGCCGAAAATCCCATCACTACAATACATTGTATTCCATTACACACCATGATTGTATTTTATACAATTTGTATGAAGTACAATATTATGGATATTTTTTTGGATTACGTATAAAATATATAATTTATATAATATTATTTACACAAACGTCTGGGGGAGATTGGAGCTCCGTTTCAAGTTCGCAGATACCACATCTGCTGTACAAGTGGTGGTGGTAATGAACCGCAAACAAATAATAAATATTAATATTTGCTTAATACCGTAAGTGTGGAAGACCCCATTGCTTGGAATCAGGATTACCTGGAAAATTGAAAAGGTGCCCATTCAAAAATGTCAAACTAAATTCTTGTATTTATAATCATTTGCAGCACTGTGTACAAGTTCAAGCATGTCTTCATAATTGAGAGGATGCGATGGAGTGATTATTTGTTTCTCCTTCCTAATGGCCCCGTGGAAATCCCTCCATGAAAGCAAAACTGGAGCCTCACTTCAGGATTAGCACTTGAGGGAGATTTACAAGTGGGCAGTCACATGCTGCGCTCTTCGTCTGTTCGAGCAACAATGCATGCACGACCTGAAGTTGCCTTCTATGTCAGAGGGTAATGAAGACCTGATGTGATGAGGACGTGTGCGTAGGACGTCAACTTTGCAGAGAAGAGTGCCGGCGGGGCTCATGGGACAGGAAAACTGGACACAAATGTTCACTTCAGGGATGAATGCCTCCCCAGGGATGGCGCCGCCGTCACCAGGGATGAGTGGCAGCCCGCCACCAAGAATGAAGACCTTCCAGTCTGAGGGCTCTCCCAAGATTCCTCCCAACCCTCCAAATTCCCCTGCCATGTCCATCATGAGCTCTCCCAGACTGTGGCAGAAGGCCTCCATCTCCAGACTGGCAGAGGAGTTTTTCTGGATTGGTGGGAGTGTGGTCGCTCAGCCCAAATGGAGGCTGGGCCAATTTGGTAAGACTCATTTTTTTTTTTTTTTTAACTATTGTACGGATTTGGTAGAAAATGATGAAGTGAGTTGATATGATAAACACACTTGGGATTTTTAGCACACCTCCAGCAAAGTATGACATTTGTATGCATTCGAATAAACCTGCGGGGAGGCCTTTGAGTCAATAATGGGCATATGGACTGGAGACAATCCTTTGGGATTAGCTGCAGGCTGTGTCACATGTAGTTTTCAGATTACAAACTGGGGTCACCTGATTTTGCCGTGTGTGTGCGCACGCACACACACAAACACACACACATACACATGCGTCTGCTCATTAAAAAAAGAAATTAAAAAAAGATGAAAAAATGTGTTTGTTCAACTCCTATTCAATTTTTTAAGTGTGACAGGTAACAAAAAAAATGCTTGTAATATCTAAAGGTTATTAAAAAGGAAGAAAATGTGCCATTTTTGTATTTTAGCAAGAAACATGATGTGGAGGCACATGTTTTGCTTTTGTGCGGTTAGAGGTGGGGGGTTAGGGACACGGCTTGAATGCAAATAGCAAAAATTAGTAAATATAATCCATATAACTGATCTTCATTCGAATTGCTGTGAAAATCATCAGGTGAACAAATGCAGGAAAACCATCTGTAAATCACATTGTGACACACCCATGATCTCATAACAGTAAACGGAACCCTTCTCACCTCTTACCTCGGTTCATCGTCCACATCGGCTACTGCACACCTTTTTATGCATTGTCAACATGAAATTGAGATGAGGTTTTTTTTTTGTTTGGGGGGGGGGGGGGCGTGCTCCCCTTTAGTGGAAAGGTGCATGTGCACAATGCAGACAGGGACCCAGATGACCAAAATGAAGGGAAAGAAGAAAGGACTCGTACGCTTCTACTACTTGGATGAACATCGCTCGTGCATCCGGTGGCGTCCCTCCAGGAAACAAGACAAAGCCAAAAGTAAGCTATTATAAATGTATGATATTTTTTCCCCGTCCTTTAATCATAGAGGAAAAAAATCCACTGCGCTCACAGTCCAGACAATAGGGAAGTCAAGTGAGAAAGTACAGGGAGAAAAATGTCCTTACCACCCATGGTTGGAGGCCTCCAATCATCCTGTCAGGCTTCATGAGAGGTTTGTTGTGGTTGGCGCAGCACAGAGAAACAGATTATGCTGCAATGCACGAGAGCACTGTCATTAACACTTTAATTAATCATGAATATTAACAGTCAGAAATCTTTTCTAAATATCCATTCGTCCATTGTCTGTCGCTCTTGTGCTCCTTAGGCTGATATATAGCAAATGCACGGATGCATCCATCCATGAATGGATCATAAAATGACTTCATCACAGCATATCAAAGCAATGCACAGTCATCATAGAAATATGCCCTCCATACATAAATACAGCAGAGTTGTCAACGATTTATCATCTTTGTTTCAGTTACAATTGACTCCATCCACGAGGTGCGCGAGGGGAAAAAGTCTGAAGTTTTCAGGAGGTACGCTGACAACTGCTTCGATCCAAATTGCTGCTTCAGCATTTACTATGGCGAGCGTGTCAAGTCCCTGGACCTGGTCAGCTCCAACGGCGAGGAGGCCCGCACGTGGATTACCGGACTCAAGTACCTCATGGCCGGCATCAGCGACGAGGACAGCTTGGCTCGGAGGCAGCGCACCCGCGATCAATATCCTTTGATGCTGCCAGAGGAGGCAAAAGGACACACATTTAAGTACAAGTACAAAAATAGAAGTGCGGATTCAAGTCCTGAACTTAACTAAATGTTTAAAAAAAACATAATAATACTCTACAATACCAAAGTACTTTGTCACGCCTCTAAGCAATCGTAGAACAGTACCAACCCGCTTGTCACCTGCCTTAACTTCAGGTCTCACGTGGCTTCAGCAGACTTTCTCGGAGGCAGACAAAAATGGAGACGGCACCCTGAGCATTGGAGAAGTCCACCAGCTGCTTCACAAGCTCAACGTGAATCTACCCAAACAGAAAGTCCGTGCGATGTTCCAGGTAAGACCTTGATCACACCTTTCAAGTCTAACATCGTGCTGCTTTTTGCATTGATCATATTGGTCAGCTTTTGGTTTTCATTTGGGGGAAGGAAACTAGGCTGTTGCAGCAAAGTATAAACCGTGTAGTATAAAACCAGACCAATAGGCTAAACTCAGTTCCAGCCTGCCGAATTTTACGAGCGTACATGACTGTCACATGTCAGACAATCACAGGGCATATAGAGACAAACAATTCTTTAATCAAGCACTCACATTCATATCATCACTGAGTGGGAAGTGGAAACGACGCAGAGACGTCAAGTGACAGAATCACTCCACTGTCAGTGACTGGTGTTAATCAATACAGTTTGGTAAAGATGACTACTACAGTAAAGTAAATGGATGGCACGAGCTACCCAATGAAGAAATATGGTCCTATCGTCTAATGTGTGGTGCAGTTGTGGAAACAATACAAACATAGAGCTCCATATCATTTTGCAGGAGGCGGATACAGACGAGAACCAAGGCTCTTTGGGATTCGAGGAGTTCTGTTCCTTCTACAAGATGATCTCCACGCGGCGAGACCTCTACCTCATCATGATTTCTTACAGCAACCAAAAGGAAGTCATGGACCTGCACGACCTCGCCCGCTTCCTGGAGAACGAGCAGAAGGTACAACGACGTGTCAAAAAGTTTGCGTGCATTTCTACCCCTGCTTACTTACAGCTGGTATTATTTAGTGTCACCGTTGCTTATTTTAAGGAATCACAGAGACACTCTGCAAAGCCACCTCGGACTTCGCTGTTATGATCACTCTCACTGCAGTCATTTGGACACTGTGATAAACAGTCGGACTTACTATGAGCAGGATTAGCCGTGGAGTCATGATTGAGAGTACCCAGAGAAAACCCACGTAAGGTTGAAGAGAATATGCAAACTCCACGCAGGAAAGAGATTATAACCTGAGCGTCAGAACTTTGAGATAGACGTGTTAAGTACTTTTCGGATGAGCTGATGGCACCAGAGTCAAAGGACTGATCAATTGAGGGGTAGCGGCAGACTAAGGGGCTGATGTGAAGGGACTTGGTGTCAGGTTAATAATCTCTTTCTGAATACAGACGCAACAAACAGAGAGGCTGAGGTGGAGAGGGTGAAAACTTTCAAATTACTCAATTTAACACGTTATTTTTGATCGACAGATGCGAGGTCTACCCAGAGAGCACCTGATGGAAATTGTGGCGAAGTTTGAGCCGTGTCCTAACAACCTTCAACGTCTGGTTCTGGGAATAGATGGTACGAGCACGACGCCGACTACATCCGCCAGTTTCAGACGACATCCATTCAACTGTTCTTTCTGTCCAGGTTTCACCAACTACATGCGAAGTCCCGGAGGTGACATCTTCAATCCAGAGCATAACCAGGTGAACCAGGACATGACGCAGCCGCTGTGCAACTACTTCATCGCCACATCGCACAACACCTACCTCACCGGAGACCAGCTGCTGTCTCAGTCCAGTGTTGAGATGTACGCTTATGTTCTCCAGGCTGGCTGTCGTTGTGTGGAAGGTGAACCTCTTTAACCCGATGCTCCCGTCTTAACATGAGACCACCGTATTCAAAAGATGGTCTTGCGCTTTAGATAGCTCTGATGAATTTCACTCTCTAACATTTGGCAAATACAAAATGAAATTTGAAGCAATGGATTGTGTCAGCGGGGCTGCTGTAAGTATTGAGTTTGAGTACATTTGCCACCTCTGTTCTTCTGCAGTGGACTGCTGGGATGGGCCAGATGGCGAGCCCATTATTCACCATGGCTACACCTTGACATCCAAAATCCTTTTCAAAGATGTCATCGAAACGATCAACAAATACGCCTTCACCAAATCACAGTATGCAGTCATTCAGTCAAATTAGCCAGTCGAGGTAAACAAATCTTTCAAGTATGACTTCTTCCTCCCCTCTGCAGGTACCCGGTGATTTTGTCCATAGAGAACCATTGCACTGTGCCTCAGCAGAAGAAAATGGCAGAATATCTGAAGGAGGTGCTGCAGGAGAAGCTGGACCTGTCCAACGTCAACACGCATGAATGCAAAAAGTTGCCCTCCCCAGAAATCCTCAAAGGAAAAATCTTAGTCAAGGTGAGACTGAGACGCCTTACTAACAACCTACAGAGGAACCTGCAAAATCAAGCGTGATCCAATTCCTGGACGGGATTTGTTCAAACAAGCACACAGTGCTTACTGCACCTACCTTTCTATCTACCTACCTAGTTGCCAGCCAACCTACCTACTACTTACGACCCTCCTAAGTACCTCATTTACCTGCTACCCACCTGCGCATTTACATACCTAACTACCTAACTTTCTGCCGACGACCTATTTATGAAGCTACTTACTTATGTACCAACATATCTACCTGCTATCTACCGACCTTCTAAGCTACCAAACTACCAACCTTCCTACCGCCCTAGTAAGCTACCTACTTACGGCTCTGTCTACTTGACTCCTACCTACCAACTTACCAACCTAAATACCTCCTAAATATTGACCTACCTACCTACTAAACTACCTATCCTTTTCTTACTTACAACTCCTGCTACCTCGCTCGAACTCAGAACATTGATAGGCCCACACTCTACTCCGCTCCACTATCTCTTTGACCTGTTGCCCTTTAGCAGGTGCTCCAGCACATTACAAGCCAAAACATACCGATGACTCAAAGACAACCTCCCAGAGCTGTCCTAGCAGTGGATTCAAACCAGCACTACAGAAATCCAACATTCTAATACTGTGTATTTTTATCTTTTAGTGTGGCTTGATGTTTACGCACATTGGTGCTGCTATTCAATTTTGTTGTACCTTGTGGTACAATAACAATCAAGCCAACGGCTGGCCTAGTTACCTGTTTACTTACCCACTTATCAACAACCAAATTACCTACTTCATTAATTGCCTACTTACCTACTACTTTGTTACCAAACTATTTACTTGTACAGCTAACCATTTACCTACCAACCTGCCGACCCACCAACCTGACGACTTACATACCCACCTACCTACCTACCTATTTACCGACCTACCTACCTAGGTAGGTTAGGTAGGGCATATCCCTCCGTCAAAGAGTACGATTCATACCATCGTGATCCAAATGGTAAAATTTGGAAGAAATATTCCTTGATCCTGGTTTTCATCCATATTCAACAAAAGTTATTTGATGTGTTGCAGGGAAAGAAGCTCCCAGCAAACCTGGACCCGAATGCCGAGGAAGGAGATGTGTCTGATGAAGATACCGGGGATGACGAAGAGGAGGAGGATGAGGAAGAGGAAGATTCTCAGGCAAATTCATCTCCTGTTTTAAGCACACTTTCATTGGATGAGCATCGTATTTACTGTACAAGAACTCTCGTAGGAGGAAAACAGCGGTCTAGCTGCTCGACAGCCCAAGAATAAGAAACGCTTCGGCAGATCCATCATGAGGAGCTTCAAACGCAAGGTCCGCCTCTTGGTTTGGATGGCTTCGATGCAGAGAAGGGAAATCCAGGTCCAGAAAGTAAAAATTCTACCATGGTTATGCTTTGCCACAAAAGTGGCTAAAGCCAAACCGTGGCAGGATTTTTAAAAACTTTCTGGACAAGGATTTCCCATCTCTGCCTGGAAATGCTTGGAACATAACATTAAGTGTCATTTATGTGATTGTTGCAGAGGAAAAAGAGAATGCGGGTGAGGAGTAAGGTCAGGTCTGATGGAGAGTCAGACTACAGCAGCAGCAGCAGGGACAGGACACAAATTGTTTATCACCCCAAGTAAAGCTCTTTTCTGTTTCATCTTTGATCTTCCAATTGTGACTACCCGATTCATAAATGTCAGAATTGCTCACTCATATACACATTTTCCAGTGGATATCAAAAGGTTTATTTGGTTACTTTACTTCACACTTAAATGGCCCTGGAGAGACACAAATATCGTGAACAAGCAATTAAAGTTAATTTTCCAAAATACTTCAGGAAGAGGAAGACAATGAGGCTGTCCCGTGCTCTGTCCGACCTTGTCAAGTACACAAAGTCCGTGCGAGTGCACGACATAGAAACACAAGGTAACCTTCATTTAATTTTACGATTTGGGTCTAAGAAATAAATGTAATTTTTTTCGTTTGGTTGTTTGTGTTGTCTTGTTTTTGTCTGGAAGCCTTTACAAACAGTTGGCAGGTGTCGTCACTCAACGAAACCGTCATGAACCAGATTGTCCTGCTGAAACCTGGTCAGCTGGTGCGCTTCAACCAGCGCCAACTCCTGAGGGTCTACCCATCCAACTACCGGGTGGACTCCAGCAACTTCAACCCACAACCCTACTGGAACGCAGGATGTCACATGGGTAAAATTATGAAATAAATAAATGTGTATTAATGTGTGAATCTACAAGCATGTTTTACAATTGGATACCTTTTATTCCAGTTGCAATGAACTACCAAACAGAAGGTCGCATGCTTGAACTGAACCAAGCCAAATTCTCAAGCAATGCAAACTGCGGATACATTCTGAAGCCTAAAATCATGCGTAAAGGTATGCAACTATTCTTCATCTGTATGAATTGACGAGCATCCCTTTGATTATTTTTTGTTTTTGTTTTTTTCAGGTGCCTTTAACCCCAATGTGGAGGATCCACTTCCAGGACAGAAGAAGATTCAGTTAGTGCTGAAGATCATCAGCGGACAGCAGCTTCCCAAACCTAAAGACTCCATGTTTGGGGACAGAGGAGAGGTCAGTATAAAATATCGTACTGCACTTAGGCTATTTCTTTTCAGCCTATAAAGACACGTCACATATTTGATTTGTCTTTGGCACTGACAGATCATTGATCCCTTTGTGGAGGTTGAAATCATCGGCCTACCCATTGACTGTTCAAAGCAGCAAACCAGGGTGGTGGATGATAACGGTATTTCAGTTTTCACATCCCATTAAAGTAGCATTGCCGTTTTGAAAGGTAGGTAAGTAGGTATGAAAGTAGATGAATGTATGAACCCTGCATTTTACTGTCCCTCAGGTTTCAACCCCATGTGGGAGGAGACTCTTGTCTTCCACATTCTAATGCCACAGATTGCTCTGGTGCGCTTTCAAGTCTGGGATCATGATCCCATTGGGAGAGATTTCATTGGCCAGAGGACCATAGCCTTGAGCAGCATGATGCCAGGTAAAAGCCGCAGACTGGCTGTCAAGAGGTGGTCACTATCAGTAAATAGTAAACAATCATCTGAAATAAATGAGATCCCTCTTTTTTGAATTCGTAGGTTATCGACATGTGTACTTGGAAGGCATGGCGGAGTCTTCCATCTTTGTTCATATTGCTATCATTGACGGCAAGGTAAGTTCTTTGCAAAGATATCCACGTTTAACCTTTTAATTTATGAAACATTTTGTGTCATAGGTAAAACCAGCAAATGCTGTGCAAGTGGCCAGAAAGCAAATCCAAAAAGCAACCCAGAAGCACATGAAGGGACCCCATAAGCAGCCATCCGTCGACTCGTCCGTGCAGTCCTCGGAAGACTGGCCCCCACCATTCCTCCGCAAGGATGCCGACTCCTTCTCCCAAGACAGCAGGAACGGAGAAATGGCCGTTCTGGTCCAAGGGCCCGCCACCAAGGCCGCCATGCACAAAGGGATCATGAGTGAACCCGTGAGACGCGCCCACCGAGTCAAAATTCATGACCCTAGGAGAGGGATCTTCAGCAAGATGTCCTCCACGGATTCAAACCCTGTGCCGGCATTGCTGCTTCAAGACAGCTTTGACCTGGACAGCCCTTCACGTCCAAACAGTCCCATTGAGGACAGACAGGATCCTGTTCCGGATAACTTCAATGAGCCTCAGTCTTTGTCTGAAGGTACTAAGTTGCAGACACTTCACACATTTGGACCAGAGGAACCTGAACCTCCTGTGGCGGTCCAAGCAGAAGCACAAACTGTCCCAGAGCCACCGGACGAAGCGTCACATGCAGCCACTCACTCGACAACACAACATCCCTTACATTCCGAAGCCAAATTTGTACCTCTTGTCCCTCCACCATCCCCGGCTCGGGTCAGAAGGACCTTGGAGGCCCCGACTATCCCCAGACCCTCCACCCCGATACGAACAAAAGTCCGGTCGTGCAGCTGCGATCGAAATCCCAACACCTCCCCCATTACACCCATGGTCAGCCGCAAGCCTGCTTCCCACTGGCAGACCGGGCGAGTCCAGAGTATGTACAAGGACATCGGCCGACAGGTGAGGACTGTACCCAACGGTCTGTGCTTGTCCGACAGCTCATCCAGCAGTGGGGGCAGTTCAGACAGCCTGGAGTTCAAAGATGCCCCGGTTGTGGCGGGTGCGGAGCAGTGCGTCGGCACACTACAGAGGGAGATGAAGACACTTTTTGATGAAAAGCTGAGAGCGATCCGATGTCAATCGCCACTTTTGTTTGACGATCAGGATTTGTGAAAACATAGCCTTTAGGCTTTGACGCTACTGGTCAGGCTACCAATGTACAGTGTTAACTTGATTTACAGTTTCGTATGTTGTGTGATCAGGCTTGTTCCTCACTATGCAGTTACGATTTGTTTGTTTTTTTGTTGTTTTTTGGGGGGGCGTGGGGGTATGCTCCATTATTTGATGAAAAATTTGGATATTTGCTTTTTGAGGGCTCAGGGCAACACCATGTCTCATGGAAAAAAAATTGCCAAGCACTAAGGTTAAACTGAGGGGAAGAACTTCACTCAGCCAGGTCGTAGTTCAAGAGAAAAACAGACGTTCACTGTATAGCAAATACATTTTCCCAATTTGAATGAATTTAAATTGCTGTTCCAGTCTACCCCCTCCCCCAAAGACACCTTTTTTATGTCTTTTTAATAATAAAAAATAATAATAATAAAAATAGCACTGTAGTGTATAAAATCTTTTCCAAAAACGAATAAAAGAGATTGTAAAGAAATACACTGCTTTTATAAAGTATAATTACTGCCTTTAATGCGTGTGGCTGATAGAACTGGAGTCAGTTTGGCCAACTAAGTTTGTGTGTGAGAGTCTGTGTGTGAGTTGGGGTCAACGGCAGCTCCTTGCCAGTACTTTTTATTGTATTTGTGTTTCAGTGTCGAACTCAATCAACGTGCATTGGCTGCTTTGGTACTCCTTGTCCACATGTTAAGGCATTACAGTGCGTTCAATGCTCCATTTTTTTTTCACAATACTTGAGCCACGACATATCTTCCACTCACTGAAACATCAAATTTGGGCTCAAAACACAAAGCAAAAATGATCAAAAAGTGTGATTTTTGCCAAGCACTCCATTCTGACCAATTAATAAAAGAAGAAGAACAAAAACCTGTGACATACAATTTTTATTTATGTTACGCTCCTTTAATATTAATTCTTTGCAGCATACTGCGCAATTTTTTTTCACAATGTTTTTTGCAAAGTTTGCTTTTATTTTAGTTCACAGTTAGTTGCTAATTGTTTGAGCATTTGTATTACATTGATACAATAGTAGCTCAGTAGTCAGTAAGATGTATGTAAGGTTTTTATCAGCATTATAGGCCATCAAAAAGTGCCAATTGTCAGTGTGTAAAGAATGATTCTATGCCTTTTCGGTTTCTTTATCAACAGATTCTTGAGTTCGCTTTGTTGCTCTGTTGCTGCTCCGGAAACGCAAGCTGAGCTCTTCAGTCAGCACTCGGCAGAAAGATTTCTGTGGGCAGAATTTATTGAAACAAAAAAGACGTGTGTAACTCTAAGTTGATGTTTTTTCATTGCTTTTATGACTTTGAGTTTGTAAATGAGCAGGAACTTTAATTCCAGGGGGTGTCCAAAGTTCCAATTTCCAATTTCAATTCAAAATATTGAAAAATCCAAAGCAATATGCCTCATCACATCTAATATAAAAATGTGTTGAAAATAACAATCATGTAAAACCAATTGAAAAACTGCTTGATGGATTTGTTTTAGCACGTTGCATAAAGTAGAAGAATTGGAAGGTTGCCCTTGCATCCTTCATTTTTCTGTATGCTGACTCAAAGAAAACAGTTTGAACACCCCCTGCTTCAATCTAACTACTCGTAAAAATAAAATACGCCTGCGGTGATGTGATCCCACCTTCTGCTCTGCCGCACTGCTGCGACTCCTCGAAGCGAGCTCCAGGATGGCCAGCAGTGTTCCAAGCGTCAGGCCCAGCGCAAGCACCACAAACATTCCCTTGAAGCCGTGCGGCTGCGCAGCTGCCGCCTTGGCCTTGTCCGCCATGCAGCTGCTGGCCCACCATTTGCTCTGCAGATAAGCCAGCTTGCCTGCCTCGTTCAGTTGCAGGATGGCCACGCTCAGGTTCTTTATGAATGGGGATCCTTGGAAAAGTAAGAGTCATGCTTAGTCAGATGATGAACACCCATTTAAAGAGCACAGAATGTAAATTCAGAAACTTGTTTCCAAATACGTGTTTGAAAATAACTGTTGAAAACGTGCAAAGACTGAGAACTATGTAGTACTCAATCGTGGAGACCTTCCAATTGAACATCTCTGGAGATGTCTGAAAACAGCTGTGCTCTTACAGCAATATACTGTAAATGTAACACTTTAGAAGGTCGAATAAGAGGCTTCACCAAGCGCGGCGGCGATGCTGTATCCCCTCATGCCGACCACCTCATGCGCTCTGACCAGGTCGCAGTGGCGTGCCACTGCCAAGTCCAGAGACACCGACTCCCCAATGAAGGCAAAGTTGCCCTCCTTTGCACGTTGGATGCCTTCATCCATGGACAACACCAGACTTTTGCTTCTCTCCATGTGCTCGTAGATCCTGCGATATACTGGGTTGTCAGAATTCTGGGCGAGAAAGGAAAAATCCAGATACAGAATTGGTTTTATGGAAATGTAATAATGCAACCCATACAAAGCCAATACGTGCTTTATTTTGCTGTAAACACTACATTTAAATAGAAATATTGAAAAAGAAATAGAAAAAAATAGAAGAGAAGCGGGCCATCATGCACACCTTGAAGAAGGCCAGTGTGGAAGAGGCGCTCAGGCACCCATACTCGATCACATTCTGATTGGCCAAGTCCTCGAAGCCTTTCACGCTTAGCTGAGTGGACTCGGGGCTTTTGGACAGGCTGAGGTTGGAGAAATAACATGCCAGGATCACCACAGCAAACAGCCACCAGCTGCAGCAGACGACACGTCCTGAGAGCGCGCGGGGATGTGGACCGGCACCTGGCAACAAAACAAAACACTAACTTTGTGCTATCCCATTAAGAAAAAAAAAAAGTTATTTCAGAGAGAAGCAGATGCATCCTGAGAGGACCACATTTTTTGGCATGACGTCACTTTTGGCACAACTTGACCGCACATGGTTTCCAAATTCTAGAAAAAAACAATTTGCAGACTGGATCCTTTGACACCTTCAAAGGCTCCTCCTCATGTAGCCTCCGTGGACTGCATAAACCGTTTTTTTGGATAGGCTTAATGTGAATTTGGACACCTCATGTGGTCGAGTCACGCCAGAAGTGATATCATTCTGTTAAAAACGCAGCCTCCGTAGGACCGAGCATGTGAATTTTGACACAGCCATAGTATTTGAAGGTTGAATCAAAATCATAAAGAAGTCATGCAAATGAAATCAGGTTCAACAACAACAAAAAAAGTTGGTCGGAATGTGTTGAACTTAATGTTAACAGTTAGCAATTTCCAAGAGTCTGAGAACCACTCACCTTGATGTCACACTGTGCTAATTACCTTGTAGCGTTAGCGCCCCAATAGCGTACCAAAGGCTGTGTGCAAAGCTGAACGTGCTCCGCTCGCTCTGAGGTTGACTCCATTCACTCGGGCTGACTCTGCCCAAAAAAAAAAAAAATCCATGTTAACATTCACGAATAAACAATCTAAAAGCAATATAGGGCTTTGCCTTTTGAGTCGTCATCAATAATACGCAGCTTTTCGCTATCCGTGGGTCTCCTCGGTCCCTATCCCCCGTGAATAGCAGGGATCAACTGTACTACAGCTTACTGATTACATTTTGAAACTCTTTTTCATTTGTGTCCCAATGCCTTTAATATACTGCCCCCTTGTGGCCAAGCCACACACATCAGAAGGAGCAGCACAATATCCATTGAAATGAAGTAACCAATGTGGCAAAAACGGTTTGATACTGTACATTTAATCTAATTATGTATTTAATGTGTTTTCTTATAAAGTCTAATATGATCATCTGCTAGTTTTCTTATTTGAAAAAACATTCCAATTGTTGTTTGTTTCCTGGGGTGAACTGGAATAGGTTAATGGCATTCATTTATAATATGTCCCTTTTAAAATGTTACTTAACACATTACTGTATCCGAGCAGAACCTTTTATTACCAACCTGGCTACTATCGAGATGCAGGCAGCCGTTGCCAGGTAGGCGATGATAATACCGGCCCAGGTCTCAGCTGAAAAGGGAGTGAGGAAATCAAAGAAGCCCATCCCTTCGGAGATGTCCTTCTTCAGTAGGATGCTTATTCCCGTCTGCATGAAGGGTTTGGTCATGGCGACCACCTGTTCCCGAGCCGCGGTCAGGGTCAGAGGTGCGATTGCCAAGTCGGCCTCCTGCGAGAAACCTTAAAATCAAGCTCCTCCATGTCAATTGATAACACTCTTTTGGCAATTTTCTTACCCCTCGCACCACTTCCCCAACCATCCCGTTCCAGTGTCCATTGTCATCCTGTCTGCCATACGAAGCGTCCTTCACCAGGTGCACTTTGTACCTGAAGTCCACCTTTTTGGCTACTTCAGACAGCAGGTCCATGCAGAAGCCTTCCAGTTGTGAGCCTTTGTACATTGTATAAGGCTCTTGCTACAGTTTAGTACAAAGTACAATGTTAACATTTAAGGAGTATGCACCATTATATATGAAAGAAATAGGAGGGTTACCAGAATTGTTGTAATTCTCAGCTCAGATTGCACTGATTAAGGGGGAGACAATATAATCGTTACAATCATCACTTTTAATACTGATCTGTGACATTATGTTTCCTCACTTTTAAGCAAAAACACCAGTTAAATATTATAATGGACGCCAAAGCAACAGGTAGTGATGTAGCGTAAGCATAAACCTGAGGACCATATTAATCTATAAATGAGGAGCTTCAAGAAAATGACTTCCTGAGAAAGGCACACTCACAATAACTGCCATTTGAGGAAAAGCAGAATTGTATGTGTGGACTGGTATTAAAGTGGCACTCATTGCGAATGGCACAATTCTATATATAATCTAGTGTAGAATTTTTCAAAAATAAAAATATATATTTTGATCACCGAATGACAACACTGCACGTAGGCTCGAAATCAGCAGTTTCATATGGCAGTCTGTGTGTCAACATTTGCAATTTGCGCCTCATCAAAAACATTGAATAGAAAAACTGACAATCACAAACTTTTACCAATTTCCGAAAATTGAACAAAGAATCTCAATTGTCGGGAGGTGCGAACATGAGTATGAGTGGTTATTTGTCTACATTTCCCCTGTGCTTGGCTGGCAACCTTCAAGTTGCACTCCACTTTTCTCACTACATGTCAGGTGGCATAGGCTCCAGCTCACTTGTGACAGTAATGCCAACAAGCACTACAGAAAATAGATGGGTGGATAATACATCCATCCATTATCCGAAATGCTTATCCTCATGAGGGCCACGGACGTGCTGGAGCTCATCCCAGCTGTCTTCGGGCAGTAGGCGGAGTACACCCTGAACTGGTTGCCAGTCATTCGCAGGGCATATATAGACAAATCCCCGATCACACTAAACCCTACGGACAATTTAGAGTGTTCACGTTTTTGGAATGTGGGAGGAAATTGGAGTACCTGGAGAAAAACACACACTCACTGGGAGAATATGCAAACTCCACACAGAAGGGCCAGAGCCCAAATCGAACCCTGCACCTCTGCACTGTGAGGCCAGCATGCTAACCGTGCCGCCGTGGATTATACAGTGTGAAATAATTTAAGGCGAAATCATAGAAATTACTTCTGCCTTCAAATGGGGACAGTGGGTTTGATTCCCCGCCGGTGCCCCAAAACCCAACCACTGCTGGGCCAGCCCATATAAAAAGGGCAACAACAAGCTCATGTTTTCCTGGCTGATGTCATGTAGGAAAATCAAAGGTTCCTTTGTGTATTTGGGACGAACACTTGGAAGGCACAATATCTCCTTCCTGCGTCATGGTGATCCGACCACTCTGGCTTGTTGTTAAGGCCGCACTCTTCAGTCCTCAGCGGCATGTCCATTCAAAAGGTGTCAGTGTCATGGCACTGAGACATGAGAGGCTAGTCAAAAGAATACCAAAAGCGCCAGTCCTCCGGGCCAAGGCCCTCGCGGATCCTCCTTTTCAAAAAGATGACATGTGTACCCCCATGTCACTGAGAAACACAGGACCTTTGTATGGCCCCGTCTTCCACATTGATGATTTACGACTATTTTTGGATGAAAAGTCAACTGCTTTTCTTCATTCTCAGCAGTTGGACAGGATGTGGAGCGAGACTTTTGATGCAGAGTCGACAAATTATGCATTTATGTTACGTAAGGACAAAAACAACACACTGTGGAGTTTGGTGATGCGCCAAAGGAAGTTGCCAAATGCTGTGACCGGGTCACACTTTGATATGTTTGGATTCAGGGATTAAAAACCCTGACATGTTTTCTAGATTTTTCTCATCTGGTTAAAATATGTGCGCTGTAATGTTGCTGTGGTTTAACGGGGGCCAACCAATCATCCATTTTCTACACTGTATCATCCTTGTTTGGTAAGAGATAATCTAAAACCTCGAGTTCACACTGGACTGGTCACCAGCCAATCACAGGGTACCTTTTGATGCAACATTCACATTTACACACACCGATAGACAATTCAGAGTATTCAACACATTATGCATATTGTTGGAATGTGGGACAAAGCTGGAGTACACTGACAAAACCCAAGAAAGCAAACTCCACAAAGAGATTCAAACCCAAGATGTCTCAACTGTGAAATTGATTTGCTTACAACTAGTCCACTGTGAGAGGGGCAAATTCGGTCCGAAATATCAGGACCTAATTTTGCAAAAAGATTATTATTATAGTGGTTCAGATAATGGATGAATGTTATAAGCATTTCCAAGATTTTGGACTAACTATAGAATGACTTGGTCAAGTCAAAAGATGCATGTACAGTATGGAGCGCTATCTGTACAAATTCCTTACCTGCAGTGCTTTTCCCAATGTTGAAGAGGAATCCAACAGATGATAAAAAGACAAACAGCATCCTGATGATTTGATGTTGCCTATCCTGTAATTTAAAAAGCAAAGTGGCTGTCACATATATTACATCTTTAATAATACATATGTGTAGCCTATTTTTGTCAACACTGCACCTGACTGTTGGATCTCAGAAGAACTGAAGTGCACCACAGAGTGAAAGAGTGTGATGTGATGATTTCCAAATTGGTGATGATAACCAGCAGTGACGCTAGCTTGGTGGGAGGAGATTGTGAAAGAGCTGTGCAGTCGTGAGAAAAATATTAAAGGGGACAGAGTGCGGGAAAAAGACTTCATTAATTTAAGTACTACTAGCAAGCTGTTGATTGTCATTTCTTAATTAAGATTAAACATAAAACAAAAATAATTACACGTGTATTCAACCAAACCACATAACTTGCGGAATACTGCCAGATTCACGCTAACACACAATGAAAAACACCACAGAGAGGCGAACAAAATGATCATTGATGTGGCAGTAGTTATAACCGCTTAAACAACAGATATTGAACATAAATGGTGTAGCAACTCCTGTAGGTGGACAGTATAACAATACCCACTGGCATATATTTTTTTTAATTTCTTGTTCACACAAAAAAAAAAGACTAATTAATGCAGTTTATTGAATCGCTTGGTTGTGAAAGTGTTCTTTGTGTTATATGTACATTTGACCTTCTGATACGACTGTTCCAAGCAAGTGTTTCGGGCTAATTGTGAGCATGATCACAGAACAAATCAACTCATAAGGCACCACTATAGCATAAATATATCAGTGAGTCAAAAACATAATTAAATGGATAATGGGAAATTTGCATTTTTTTATGTGTTAAGAAGCAGCTACATATACAACAATGTCCTCGCACTTTTGCAGCGTTTTTTTAAAATGAAACAATCTGTCAGCTATTAATGTTAAAGGTAACTGTTGTAAAATGAGTTCAAATGTATCTTCAAATGTTTTGGTAACATAGTTTGGGCTGTATTTGGGGTTTCAACTTTTACTATTGGCAATTAGAAACATTTGCAAAGGGGAAAATCCCGAGACCCAAAACTCACGAATAGTGTTCATGTTCACTGCACTGTATGTAAACATAACCATGATGACCAAAGGCGCGCTCTCTCAACATGCGTTGTTTTTCTCATCGCTTTTTCGCGTTACGAATTGCCCGACCAAGTGCGGTGAACTCGCTTTGCCAAACCGACCAATCACGGTATGGTGCGCCTTGCCCGCGAAGCGAAGCGGTTGTCTCTGATTGGCTGACAGCAGTTTGGAGGCGTATTTTTCGAGCCATTTTGACCGAATATTTAGCCACATCCAAGGTACATTAATTTAATATCTTTGCGGGTACGCGACCGCATGGCTGTGGACTGGCACCGCTTGGAAGGGTTAAGGCACAGCCATGTGAGCGGCCGGGTTTGGGTCCTTCGTCGTAACCGGGGGGGTTGAAACGAGGATGACGCTGAGTCGGTCCCCAAATGACCGGCGAGCTAGGCTAACAGCTAGCATGTCCGCCGCGGTGGTTCAAGCCTGATCTGACATTTAGCGAGGTCCTTTTTTTCTTCCCTTCCCCACCCTCCCTCCTGTTTGTCACTCGCACCGCCGAGGATCACTTTTCACGGTAAGGCAAGACATGTTCGGCGTTTGGAATTTAATCGAGAAATTGCCATTATGTTGTCCGAGTCCTGTGTGCATATGTATGTATGTGTTTAGTGCCCTGTCCGACAGAGAAACGCAATCATAGATATGCCTGCTTTTTTTTTATTTGCCATGTATGAATACAACGGACTAACGCTCTATACTATGACTATCGTCGTGTCGTCTAATGCATACCAACATTTAAATGCCGCATGTCAGCACGGTGCACAGTGTTTATTTTTTTGCTGGTGTTGGCAAAATATAATTCTGTCGCTTGTTGCCTCTGCGCTGTTGTGAGCCCAAAATGGCTGACGGACGTTGAGCTACTCGGGTTGGTATTTACCGCCCCTCAACCAAACTATACACAGCCACCAGCAGTAAAAAATAAATTTACAGATATTCGATTGGACGTGGAGGAACGTGACAGCGACACTGGCTCCCAATTGGACCAATCGCGACAGGGACGGGGCGTCACCTTGCAGGCAGTGGAATCGCACCGGCCAAACCATTAGGTACACATGTATCGCTGAACGAGCGTCAAATACAACCTGTATCAACAAACGTGTCTTTTAAAATACTTAAATATAGTTTTAACTGTTTAAAACGTCACCTTATTTGTCTAGTACAATTACCCCATTTAGCGACACAAAAGGCAGACTATAAGAAACAGCCTTCAGGCTAATGCAGTGCTGTTCTACCAAAGTAATAAACGTTGTTAAGTAGCTTCTTCCAAAACTTTATTTGACCACCTAGATGTTAATCTTTAGTATTTAATCATCGGTTAAGTAAATTGTTGTTTGCACCTGCAGTTCAAACATACATTACAACATCATTTTATTTTTATGCAAATGTTGTCGACGGGTGCTTCCTCTTCAAAGATGCATTTTGCATTATTTTCACGTTTTTCATCAAAATACCCCACGAACAACAGTACTCGTCACACACCCCATTTCTTGCCTTGTGGAAATTAGCCTCTTTTGAGAGGACCTCAATGAGCTAGCCAGCTCTCATTCTGCCTAATATGCTGCTGGGCCAATAGAGAGCCTGGAGTTTGTAACTGTGACATTTAGGTATGGAGCTAGGGGACTTAACAGGCATGCTTGCAGCATCTACTTGCAGTAGCAGAATCCCAAGTGTATGGAAGGAAAAATGTTAAGTTCGGTAAAGACAATGACAGCCTTTTCCCTTCTGCAGACAAAACTATGAGTATTTGGTAGATGTACACGTCACGAAAGCACACATAACTAACTGCCAGCGTGTGGTCAAATTCACCGAGTGATCAAGAATGTTCACCGATTATCACAAGCCAACACTGTTTAGCTGCTGCTAATCTGTGAATCCAACAAAATAGTGCAGCTCTGCTTACCTTTCTGTTTTAGCATAATAGCAGCTGCGTCACAGACATGAGGTATGTGAGTCCAGTATTTCTAAATCACAGTGCCTATGTGTGGTCGTGTTTCGGATGGTGTGTCCAGCTGTCACTGGAAAGTGGCTCTGGATCTTCGTCGAGCCTAGGTGATCCAGACATGGGATGAGAAACTCTTGTGTGGGGTGGTAATATAAATTAGCCTACCAGTAAATGTAATTTAACAGTAAGCAAAACATTTCGCTCCAAGAGACATTTTCAGACATGGCCAGATAAAAGATTTACATGGTTGTTTAATTTCACAACTGGGGGGAAGGCACTCAAACATTGTTTACAAGACATTAAAAAGTCATCTTACCATAACATGTCCTCTTTAGTCTTGCTAGAATGTTATTTTCTCACAACGTTTAGTCTTGGCATTAATTTGTCTTCTTTTGCTTGTGTTTAAGGTAGCTGGTGTAAGCCCCTCCATGCAGAAGGCGAGAAGGTGGGAATGTAAGACAGCTGTAAGTGAGCTCAACATGGGTCGCGGCCGAGGCAGAGGGCGAGGCAGGGGCAGAGGCTCGGCGGGCCAGTTGCGCTCGCCCTCGCCCTACAGACTGCAGCTTTCTCCTTCTCGGGAGACGCTGACATACGCCCAGGCGCAGAAGATCGTGGAGGTGGACCTGGACGGCAGGCTGCACCGGATCAACATCACCGATCCCCTGCCGGTGATCACAGAGGACGAGATGATGGCCCAGGACATTGTCGAGTGCAACAGCAACAAGGAGAACAGCGTGCAAACTCAGAGGAGGAAACCCTCCAACAGCAAAGGGAGGAGGAATTGCAAAAACGCATCACAGCAAAACAAACGACCCAGCTCCCAGCAGCAACTGGCATCTACCAATCCCCTCCAGGTCCAGAGTCCGCTCCCGGAGCCCACCTTCCGCACACTCGGCTCCGTTTGCCCAATCGAAGCCTCTCCCCTCCCCAACGCCTATTACCGCTTCATTGAGAAGTCTGGCGAGGAGCTGGACAGAGTGGCTGAGTACGACATGGACGAGGAAGACCTGGCTTGGCTGGAGATGGTGAACCAGAAGCGAGTGTCCGACGGCCACGCATCCGTGTCCGCCGACACCTTCGAGCTGCTGATCGACCGCTTGGAGAGGGAGTCCATCTTGGAGTCCCGCAGCCAGGCGCTGTCCCAGTGCGCCGTGGACGAGGACGCCTTCTGCTGCGTATGCCTGGACGACGAGTGCCTGAACAGCAACGTCATCCTCTTCTGTGACATCTGCAACCTCGCCGTGCACCAGGAGTGCTACGGCGTGCCGTACGTACCCGAGGGCCAGTGGCTGTGCCGCTGCTGCCTGCAGTCGCCCTCCCGCCCCGTAGATTGCGTCCTGTGTCCCAACCGAGGAGGTGCCTTCAAGCAGACCAGCGACGGGCGCTGGGCCCACGTAGTGTGTGCCATATGGATCCCGGAGGTGTGCTTTGCCAACACAGTCTTCCTGGAACCCGTGGAGGGGGTGAAGAACATCCCCCCGGCCCGTTGGAAGCTCACCTGCTACCTGTGCAAGCAGAAGGGCCACGGCGCGTCCATCCAGTGCCACAAAGCCAACTGCTACCGCGCCTTTCATGTCACCTGCGCCCAGAAAGCCGGACTCTACATGAAGATAGACCCCGTCCGTGAGACGGGCGTCAACGGGACCACCTTCTCAGTGAAGAAGACCGCCTTCTGCGAGCACCACTCCCCGGTGGGGTCCCGGCGCGACGGGTCCGGAGATGAGTCAGTTGAAGGGAGACTGGTGGGGGGTAGGGGAAACAGGGGGCAGCGGTCATACACGCAGAGCTCCCCCACGCCGTCGGCAAAGAAAACATCCAAGGGCCAAAAGAAGAAGAGCACAAAAGGGCCCACGCGTCGTTCCAATGTGCCTGTGCTGCTTGTGCCTCAAATTCCCTCCCACAGGTGAGATCATCGCCATTCGTCCATTTGCTATCCTCAGTGAGAGGGAAGCTGCAGCCTGCTACAGCTCATTGAAAACGAAAATACTGTATGCATTATGTTTCCTACAGTCTTACTTGAAACTCTGAGACACCCTCCACAGCAGGAGAATTTAAGTCCTCCGGAATCAAACTGTGTCCTTGACACCCCCACTTGCTAATTTATCTACAGGAAATACCAGCGGTAATAAAGATTCACTTGAAAACAAACAGACAGACCACATTCCTCATGTCGCCAAATTAGATGAACAATCAATCTCACTGTGCTTGCCTTATTGCTTTTGGCATCATAAGTACTTGTAAGAATTAATATGTCCTCTCAACAGGCTGAACAAGATCTGCACAGGAGTAGAAGTCCAGCGGAAGAATCAATTCATGCAGAGGCTTCACAATTACTGGCTCCTCAAGCGACAGTCGCGGAACGGGATGCCTCTGATACGTCGACTTCACCCCTGCATGCAGGCCCACCGGACTGCCCAACAGGTGAGGAACGGTGGAAAAACATGGAATAAGTGAGTCTCAACCACTGATACCGTGAGAGATCATCAGGTGTGCCATTTGACATTATTGAGTTTCACTTAATCGGTTTGAAAATTATTATTTACGACAAATAATGTTGATATTCATACATGGGCGAAATAGCTTTGTGTTCAACTGCAGTAAAGAGGCCCAGATTCACACTGAGTAAGTCAAGTTGTAAATAAACTAACATGCAATGAAAATTATGTTCAACTGCATAGTCACGACTTGGAAATATTTTGGAACCTACCCATCATTATTATTTGCTTTTAAAAAAAAAAGAACACTGAAAACTGCCCTATGTGCCAATATTAGGGGGCTACATTGATGTGCGTTGAGAACTTCATTTCGACCAATGTACTGCTTTACTGCCATCTTGTGGCATCCATAGGCAATTGTGAATTGTTGGGACGGCCATACATGGCAATTTTCCGCGGATCCGCGGAAATCCGCCGTTTTATTTCTTAAATTGATCATTTTTGTGAATCGTCTAAATCCGTTGAGAAAATTTTAGGGGCGGTCAGGTACCTTATCGTCGAGTTTTCACGAGCTCTCCCGAACAGTCTCTCCGTTTTCCGTTTGTAAACAGCCCTGCGATTGGACGTGTATGAAAGCTTCAACTAATCAGATCACTGAAGGCATTATTTGTTGCGGAAGTCTTAGCTCGATTATAAACGGCCCAGCGATTGGTTAACTACAAGCGATTGGACCAATCAAATTGCATGTAACATATTGCTTTACCTGATTCATGGCGGCCTGTTCGTCTCGCAAATTCATTGTTCTGGGATCGTTTTGAGCGGAATTAAGAATTTTTTGAAGATCAGGAGTCTTCAATCCTAGAAATTGACTCAAATGTCAAGAATAAATTCCGATTGGACTGGCTTGACAGAAAAGTCACTGTAAAGGTTAAAATTGGTTCCAAGTTCGACGAAGTTACAGAAGCTCTTGGACAATAAGCTTTGACGTAGCAGGCAAAGCTTATTGTGTGTATTGTAGTGACTTAATTAACTATGGCTCCCGTGGATGCGTGGCACTGACAGATCATGCAACAAAAGTGAAAAAACATGCCGACAAAATCGCCATTCGACGGAGCAATTATTCTTTGGGATCGGCATTTTTCAAACAAACTTAGTCAGCGGATACAACTAAAGACGTTACTGTATGAGGTAAGAATCAACAGCTTTTTATCACATTTACACAATACTTTGTGAATACAAGTCATGAACAAATCTTAAATATGGCAGGGAATGTGTTTACTTTTTTTTGTTTTGATTTTTTAGCAGCAAATCTGGAGTTACATATGCTCACCAGGAATGCATAAGCAAAATTGCACAACTTTTCACTTGAAAGAATAGTGGCGATCTTGGGATATTTTTCTGTTCAATTTTCAAATAGTGTGTAAATTCAATACACTATCTTCAGCATGTTTAGCGCCACTTTTATAAGTAACCACGCCCCCGGCCAGGCCACGCCCCCGGCCAGGCCACGCCCTTTCCGCTTTTTTCATCACTCACCATTGCCATGTATGGACGGCATCAATTCCTCACAGATTATTTGCTCTTTGCAGCCGGGCTCGGTCCCAGTCCCCTGTGAATATTGAGGGAACATTAGTTCAGTGCCATACTATGAGACTGGGTACCGTTTTTAGGAAAAATATGTGCTGATCTGGTCGACACGCATTTAACATTAGCGTTTTCTTGTGTGTTTAGAAGGAGCCAGATGAGAAGCTGTGTGCTGCCCGAGAGGAACTGCGGTACTGGCAGAAGTTAAGGCAAGACTTGGAAAGAGCCAGACTTCTGGTGGAACTCATTCGCAAGAGAGAGCGCCTAAAGAGGGAGCAGGTGGGTCATGGGTGTAATTTTAGAAGGAGTTCTCAGCAAAGCCTGAGCATTCAAGCCCTGAAATTTCCTTTTCAGATGAAAATTCAGCAGGCTGCAACGGAGCTGAAGCTGACCCCGGCGCTGGTGCTCTTGCGGACCACCTTAGAGCAGCTGCAGGAGAAGGACACGGCCAAAATCTTCTCTCAGCCCGTCAATCTAGCAGAGGTTGGTAAAAAGTTCATTTAGCTATAATTCTGCAACCATTTTTGGTCAATGTCCGTTTTAAAACTTTCCTTCTGATTGCTCGCGGCTCATGTTGTCATTCGAATCATTCGCAAAGGTCCCAGACTACCTGGAGTTCGTATCCCAGCCCATGGACCTGTCCACCATGCGAGCCAAGCTAGAGGGGCATGCCTACTGCTCCGTCGCTGAGCTCGAGGCGGACTTTGAGCTCATGATCTCTAACTGCCTCAAGTACAACTCCAAGGACACCATGTTCCACAAAACGGCCTTGCAGCTGCGCGAGGTGGGTGGGGCCGTCCTGCGCCACGCCCACAGGCAGTCGCAGAACATCGGCCTGGACCCGAGCACCGGCATGCACCTGCCCGAGTCTCCCAACAAGCACGGCTTTCAGCAGTGCACCTGGGATGATGGTGAGGCACCATTTAGTCAGTTTGGGTTGAGTTTGCCTTGGCTTTCACCCCAAAATTCACACTTACGCTTTTGTTCTCCCTCTCAACCAGTCGACTCCCTCTTGGACCCCGACAACAGGCTTCACCTGAGCACGGATGAGCAGCTTAAGGCCTTGCTGGACAAATTGGATGTGGTGACTTCCATGCGAACCAGCGGCGGACGAACCAAACGCATTCGACTGCTCCGGCGAGAAATCAACACGCTGAGGCTCAAGGCGAACCAGCAGCAGCAAAACACGCAGACGCTGAACACGAAGGATGAAGTGCAAGAGGAGGATGAGAAAAAGAAAAAGAAGAAGGCAAAAAGGAAAATTCTAGATCATGGAGTTGTGTCCGCAGGTAATAAAGCTTCTTTTAGACACGGAGAGGCTGAAAAATAGCCGCATCACTGCCGTAGCAGAAGATCTGGTTGTAAAGTTACAACAGTAATTGTTAGTGCGAAAAATATTTGCAGGCCATAAATATTAAACAATGACCACTTATTGTGGTCATTGCGTTTTATTCGCAACCTTGAAATGTAATTTGTGGTGACGCTTCACCTTGTGCTGAAAACGCTTCAGTATGCTGTCAGCCATTATATGCTAAGCACGTCATAGTGTATTGAAAATATGTAAATTTCAATTTAGTGTTATCTCAAGAAAAAACGTCATTAGTATGACTGTGATATCTAATGTTCTTTGGTTGAAGTGGGATCTTGTATCATTATTTTAGTCCCCCCCCCAAAAAAACTTGACCCCCCCAGCCCAAACCTTGGACACCACTGATCTAGTTGATTTTTCATGACCATGATACATGTTTTTCCCCATACAGATGACTCCCCTCCTGTGTTAGAACTTACCTGTCCGGCATCATCGCCGCTGCAAGGCGACGCTCCACTAGAACCGCCCATCCTAGGCATCGTAACAGGAGGCCGGCGGTCGCCCGGGCGCTCCTACAAGCGGCAGAGATCGTCACGAAGCGGCAGCAAAAGCCAAGGAGAGGACGAGGCCGAAGTGGGCGAGACGCCATCTTGCCGACCAGAAGCTGTGCACGAGGGCACGCCGTTGGGAACGCCGCCAGCTCAGCCCGCGGTGGGCGTCGGCCGGCGCACGTCCATCCTGTTCAAGAAGGCCAAAAACGGCGCGAGAGCCTGCAAAAAGAAATTTCCACCGCAGCACAACTGCAAAGCGGCAGAGGATCCGACCGATGGCTTAGACGGCGTCTCCGCCAGCCCGCATTCACCCCACGCCGACATCACCGTCTTACCACTCACTCCTCCTTCGCCCTCCTCACGCCACCTGAGGTCTCGAGGCCACAGCTCAGACAGCGAGGCGGACAAAGACTCTGGTGAGGCAGGTGAGCAACTTCTTGTTTTGTGTCTTGTGGAGTCCTGAAACAGGGACATTGCAACATTGAATTGCTTAGAGAGTATTAGTTGGCTACGCTTACATTGTATGAGAAACAAATGAAGGTTCATGTAACTGCATCAATGATACTGCTTTTGGAGTAGTGTCCTCCAAAAAAAAAAAAAACTACTGGATGAGCATGGATGTAAACAAGATGGCACGTTTCACTACATACACAACAGTGGACATTCCTTGAAAATGAGCTTTCCTACTAAGTATTTTGAATATTTTTTACTCTTGAAAGTTGTGCATTATTTAATTCAATCTTTCTTTCATCGATTTAACTTTTTTATTTTATCTTTTATCAATGTAATAGTTTTTCCTCATTTTAAATTGGTTTTGTTTGATTGCTACCAAATTTGAACTTTGTATTCCCCACCTCAAATGGTGAAGAATTTGAATTTTCATCATTGCGTGTGGGCAAAGCACAGCAATAAATTTTGATGACTCGGCTCCACAAGGTCAGAACTTGAGCAAATTAATATCGTATGAGAAAAGAGACTCATAGGCGCCCTCTATTGAGAGGATATGTTTTCATGCAATAACTCATCTTTTCACGCATCCAGTCCCTCCCCTGTAGCATGCCACCTCACCTAAAACTCCTCCTGAGAAGTTGATTTAAAAAAAATATGCCCCCCGACACCAGTTTCACTGATCGACACAACATTGGGTGGACGTGTATTGTCCTAACGGTTCATGAAAAGCTCTCAAGAACCCATGCTGGTGTATGAGCCAGAAGTCAGCCATTATGTTTTGAAGTAGCCATTTTGGGTGTATTTTAGGGCTCAAATTCTGACCAGAGAATTGAAACAAATCAGCCACAATCAGAAGCGGGTAGACTTGACAGGCAGGCAAAGCTTAATGGCCAAACTATTTAGTCTATTTGATCTAATGTTGCTGGAGCATGGTGTCAAATTTTGATGATCATTTGGCAAATTTCTTTTTGTTTTTATGTTTAGACCTAACAAACGGAAAACATGCCTTAGAGGAACACGACGAAGACCAAAAACTCAAGTGAGTGGGGCGCACTTACCTTCTGCCGCTGAAATTTGACCCCGGAATTCAAGAGTTCTCTCTTTCTCTGTTTGCATCCAGCTGCATGGCATCGCCTCCCAAACGTAGCCGAGGGAAACCCGCTCTGGCCAAGGATCCCATCAACGACAGCAGAGACATCTCGGAATCGGGTTTGTTTTGTCAGAGGACTGAGTACATATACAGCCTTAGGCCACACATATATCAATATGACAATGTGGATTTATTTGTTTTTTTTTTTTACTTTACAACTGATGGTAGCTGAATTAGCTTCTATGTATTACAACCGTAATGTTTTTAACAAATATACTTCACTGAAGTTAACGAAAAAGTTTAAGCCGCTGTAACATTATGCGCAGTTGAAAGATTTAATTCCAAGAATCCTTAACAACGCATTAGCGTGAGCCTGCACTCACACATACACACACACGTTGAGTCACTGATTCCTGATCAAGCTTTCAAATCCAAATCAACTGTCTTTGTTGTCCACAGGCAAGCCTACACTTCTCTGTCCAGACAGCGAGACGGAGTTGGCGCCTCTCGATCTGGTGTGGGCCAAATGCAGAGGCTATCCATCATACCCGGCCATGGTGAGAAAGAATCGACGCCGAGCCTCACTTCCGCCGAAATGCTGAAAGAGCCATTGTTCATAAATCCCCCTCCCCGTGGCAGATTGTTGACCCAGATATGCCCCAGGAAGGACTTCTTCACAACGGCATCCCCATCCCAGTGCCTCCCGTGGAGGTGCTCAAGCTGGGCGAGTGGAGGCGGACGGAGGCTGGACAAAAGCTCTTCCTGGTGCTCTTCTTTGACACCAAAAGGACCTGGTAAGACCCAGAATGGCTCGACTCAAGATGCTGGGTTCTGACACCATATTGAGCTGTACAGGTTAAAGGTCGCATTAATACTGGAACGTGATGAGATTAAATGATTTATCAGCAAAACCCGCCGTTTGACCAGGGGTGTGTAGGGCTGGCTGATGGTAGAAAAAACATAAGCCTGAGTATTTGGGGTTGATATTGAAATCAGGATTCATAAAAACATCGATTCATTGATTTCAAAACTTGATTTATTCAACCACCAAAACTTAAAACTACCATCCTACTTATTCATCCCCGTACCTTGAACACTTTATTCTTGAACACTGTTCTTTTTTGTCATGTACAAAAGGACCTTGTAAATATGTGAAATTCAAGCATCGTGCGTTTTCATTTTGCTGCATGCATCCCTTTGCCGCATTGCACTTTTGCACACATTAAAACCGTGAATAAGCATCTCCCTTACCACTGTATTGCATTCATTTGACCTTACCTACATTGTTGTTATTTTTTATTTTCACAAGTCTTTGGACTTACTAGGTTAACCTGGGACCTCGGGTATCATATTTCATGCAATCTCATGTGGAAATACGGACATAACAAACTAATAATAAATAAAGGCAGTTCCTGCGGTTGCGCACACATTTGGCCTCTTAGGGCTAGTGCGGGCCTATGCATGCATGGAGTATACACAATGAGATCAGAAGAGAAGAAAAATAATGTTGCAGACAACAGAGCTCATTTAATATAACTTGTTTTTCAAAGATTATGATGAATATGTGCCTTTGAAAATGTTCATATTACCTGTACGTGTGTGTTTCGACAGCATTTGTGTGTGAATAAGCTATTTGAAGGAATTTAAACTCTGCAGGGTCAATGCTAATTTCTCGTCAGCTTCTCAATAGGATTTTATATTGACTTTATTATTCGCACTGGAGACGTTTTTAAAATGAAACATGTCTTGTATTTGAATACACAATGTGTGGAATTCTTTGTGTTGTGCATCTAGTTTTATAGTAAACCCCAAATGGGGCAGTCATCAAACAGTTTGAAGCTCACTCGGAGAAGGCGGAATCACATAATGTCTGTCACAAGCTAGCAAGCAACATGGCGCATTCAGGGAACTTTGAATATTTCAGGAACTTGCAAAACACAGCGCGCTGTTCAGATCATCAATGTTTTTTTCTTTGATTCTAATGCTTTTACGATTGTGAGAAGCCAAACTTGAAATCACACACACCACACACACACACACACACAAAAATATATATTATAATTTCCCATCCGTCGGGGATTACTGTTTTTATATCCACTATATATTCTAGGAAAAAATGACATATTCGTGTACGGTGGTCGAGTTCCCTGCTCTTCTTCCACTTTTGACAGTTTAGGTCAAAAGAATTGTTCAAAGTCCTGCTTGAGCTTGGCTTTGGATCTTGGATCAGCTAAACTGCCAAATCATGGGTGGAGAATCTTTGTATAAATCTTTGTATAAGGGCTTTATGTAAATTAGTATTGGGGAAGTGGGGGAGGGCAGTGTAGAACATCTTGGTTGGAGGCAACTGTGTAGACATGTAATTAAAGTCAATTGTCCATAATAGGTCCCCCTTAATTTTCAGGCAGTGGCTCCCTCGGGATAAACTGCTGCCCATGGGAATGGATGACACGGTGGACAAACTTCGCCTGATGGAAGGCAAGAAGCCAAGCGTTCGCAAGTCAGTGCACACGGCGTACGACCGGGCCATGATGCACTTGAACCGTATCCGAGGCAACCTCAACTTCACACCCACCTCCAACTTTATATGACTTTTCTTCTTTTATTGGCATTGAGCCTCAAACAAAATAGGAACTTCTCCAGGTGCTCTCATGATGAAGGGTAAGTAGTGGAGGAGAAGTGGAAGTGAGTTTGACACAACTTGTTTGCTTTGCGTTTTTATCAAATGATTTCTTTTGACAGTTTGGCCAAAGTGATTCAAGATTTGTAAATATTGAACTCTGAAAAGGGAAAGATGTATTTAGATTGTATTTTGTGAAAGTCTCACTTGACACTCGCTTCATGGCTGGACTTCACAGTTTTATAAATAGTAGACACCAGATTATACAGCGGACTCTCCGAACACAAGCTGCTGAGGTTGACTTCAAAGTTGCTCCAATTTCAAATCAATTTTTCCTCAAAAGAAATAATGTGAAGTTTGTTACGTGTCAGAAAATCGTTGCTAACTGTACAGGTAATGTTTTGAGCACCTTTCCTAAGGGACATGAGCCAAAGTATATGCATAATGTAGCTAAGTAAAACTAAAATAAAGTAAAACTACTCGCTCTTTGTCAAGGCCTGACAGCAATGTAATGGAGAGTCAAGAAGATGATAGGAATGAGTTTAATAAATCAAGCACATTTACTTCCAAGATTAAAGTCAAAATATAGAGGGGTGAAAAAAAAATATATATATATATTTTTAAATGTTTTTAAATGCCATTTCTTTTTAGGTAAACGCTCATGAGAAGAAAGTTTATTTTTTATTTTGTAAAAAAGTTGAAAAAAGTCAAATGGGATTTAACTTGATTCAACGAGGAAAACTCATTAGGGAAAAACAGTAAAATTATGAAATTATTCTTTTAAAATTAGCGCTCTATTTCTAGAAAAGCTTTTGTGTTAAATATTTTGGACTACTGTTCAGTGTAATGAGTTTATTTGAATTCACATCTGGTTGATAAGATTGTATTTGATAAGTAAAGTCACTGTAAAGTGAAAAAAAATGTCAGCTAATTTTGACACCACAGGTAAGAGTTGTTAAACTCTGACAAATATGAATGATTAAAAAAAGTCAAGCATGAAATGAAACTTAATGATGGACAAAAAAAAAACACTTTTATGCACTGTGGGCATGTCGGCTGTGTGCGCTGAAAACAGCCCTCGCCCCCTAACCATGAATGAAATAACACTACAGCCAGGAAAAAGGGATCCTACTTCAGCTGGCAACTTTCTTAGGCCAACATATCACTACATGTTTGAGCCACAAAAATAATAACCGTTTCGAGACTCCGGTGGTTGAAATATACCCCACCAGGACTTTGCGGCGCTTTTCTACGCTGCGACGAGGCACTCTAAAGCAGCCACACCAGCAGACTATTAAAAAAAAAAAAAAATTATCATTCAACTTCCATAGTTTAATACTGTAGTTGTATTCAGAAATAAATCACTGAATTCACTTAAGAGAATCTTTAATTGTATTGCTCATATTATATTGAGCAACCAGGACAACTTTATCACACTTTTCCTCTTTCCCGTCACTGGAGCAGTTTTCTGTGGTGGAATCACACAAAAAGTGAGGGGAAGAAAAAAAAAATCTAACTTTGGAGGTTCCACTGTATAATTCTATTATTTATTACTATTTTTATTTTTTTGCAGAACACAGTATACTGTAGTCCAGCCATGATGAGGTATACAGTATGTGGGACTTGTAGTCTGTATTTAAGTTTTTCCATATTGTGAAAGTGTATGTGGAGTACCTGCTAAGTGCATACAAAGGCTACTGCGGTCGAACAACTTTTTGATCGATTTGAAAAGCACAAACTGGCTCCAGTGTGTGTCACGAGTGCGTGTGTTACATATAATGCGATTGTGATTACTAAGCGTAGTAGTAAACGGTGCATGTGTATAGTTTTGTACATATGTAAATGTTTGTTTATACCGGCTAACAGGAAGTAATTTAAAAGGAATGCCATTTTAGAATTTTAATTTATAAAAACAAAAAGGGAAAACAGCAGTTGAGAGTGTTATTTTAAAGCAAAGACAAATATGTCAAATATGGGAAAATACTTTTTTTGTGTGTATGACGCTTCGTAGCTCTTTTAAACCGTGACAACTTGCCGGAAGATTTTCTTTAAAAAAACAAAACTAAAAATAATAAGAAATAAATCACATGACACAAGACCTGAGCCATCCCGAGGTTTTTCCCTGTCCTTGGCAGGTCTTGTGTGCAAAAGGCCATATTTTCTCACACAACAATAAAGGCTGTTTGAATCAACTGAATACTTGTCTCTCTCTCCCACTCTCATCTGAAACTACACAATCTAAAAATGTTTTTTTTTTGTTAAAGAGTATGCATCTTCAAAATTTGTTTGAAAAGGAAAAGCATGTAAAGCTATTTTTCATATTTGTGTTTTGATTTTAACGTTTTAAATCTGAAACAATAACCCAACAAAATGCATTTCTCTCAAAAATGTGTTGGATTTTTTTTAAAGCCAAAACACAGCGCTGTCCTTTACAAAGGATGCATCACCAAATGTATTTTATTTTTAAATCTGAAACAATACTTCCATTTATTATAATTTTTTTAAATATGTATTTTATCTGACACACAAAACATTTTACTTTGGTTGGAATTTTGAGGCGATAAGAACATTTTCCTAAAACTTGGAAATGCATACCTTTTGATGGACAGCAACGTCACGACATTTCTTTGTATTTAGCTGCAACACAAACTCAGTGGACACTCCTGCACAGTTTGAAGAGCTCTGAATCAAGAGCAGAGTCAAGAATATTGAATTAAAATCTGCAAGATTCTAGATAACCACCATGTATCCTGTGATACATGATCAATTTTTTTTTCTCATTAATTTGTTAATGTACCATCAGAGTTGTTCGGCAAAGCAAGTGTGGTCCAAAAGATGTACAACATTTTTAGTATCACTTTAACAATTTATTTATTAGTGTGGTTTTGGAACTGCACGTAGTTACAACAAACCCACTATGCACATTTATTTCACACTTATATACTAGTGCAACCTGGGAGGGTATTTCTTTGTACTGTCATAGGAATAGAATCTTAAGACTATTTAAAGTGACACCAACAACACATGACTGAATGATGAGGCTGCACCTTTAGAAAACCTGACGTAGAAAAAGGATGTGGGATTCTCTACGCAAACAAACATTGCAATGATGACAGATAGTTTGCTGCGGATCAAAACACTTAAATATGGTGAGATGTAACAGACAAATGTCACCTGTTTGAGATTTTTTGCTCTACGGGGGTATTAAGGCCACAGTGTAAAATAATTACATCACGACAATCTCCCCCCCCCGAAAAAAAAAAGAACGTTATTTTTAAAAGGTCCAAATTTAACTGAAAAAAAGCAAACCTCGATTAAGTTTTTTTTTTTAAATGAAAAATAACATCTTCGACAACAAAGTTTTATTTTAGGAGAAAAGTCATAGTTGAATTTTAACATGGGATAATTATTTTTTTCTGAACAGAAAAAAAGCGATAATCTTCCAAAACGAGTTTGAGAAACAAATGTTATCTAATAGGAAGTCGTATTTATTTTATAAATGTATTTTTTTTGAAATAGCATTTTGAGAAAAAAAATAGATTAAAATGAGAACTCAGTTATTTTTATGTAGTCTCAATATTTTGAGACTAAAGTTTGAATTTAACGAGGGGGAAAAATGATTTTCTCCCAAAAAAAGTCAATCTTATAAAATGTAATTTTTCATTGGAAAAAAAAGTCATAATCATACAAGAATAGAATTTTGTGTTACAAGTTCTTTTTTCATGAATAGTTATTTTTTAAAAGAATAAATTCAATCACAAAAAAATAGAACTTTCGTGAGGAAAAAAATTAACATTTTTATCTTGGGTGAAGAAACACTTTTTGAATCTTGAAAATGATTTTATTCTTGAAAAAAATACGACTATTCTCATAAATTAGTGACTTTTCCCCCGAAAAAAAATGTGAATTAAAAAAAAAAATTGTCATCCTGAAGAAAATTTGACTTTTTATCTTTATTCTTATAAGATTACAACTTGCCCTCCAAAAAAGGTTTCGTTTCAAAAAAATAAATATTGAAAAGAAGACCAGTAGAGAAAAATATTCAGAAAAAAACCCACTTGTTGGAAAAAAAACTTCCTAAAATAATACATTAGTTTTTGCAAAAATACGTTTTATCTGGAAAATGTATCATTAGCCTATTTACAAAGTTCCAAAAGTCATGTTTAACTTACTTTCACAACATCATGACGAATACCAATGTAGCTCCTAAACATTTTGTTTTTTTCTTGAGTTTTGTGTAGATTGTCATTCATCCATGTCATGTTAATCTACAAAGTTTGAATCGAGGCAACCGGATTCTTCTTATTAAATTTGTTGTCTCCCCCCTCCCCCCAAAGATCGTCAAATAGGACTTGGGCAACTATGCTTCGAGGTTCATTTTTCATTCTCGTGATATAATTTTATATGTGACCCCAATTCCCTCAAGTTTTCTGAGGGCTGTACTAAAGTGATGAAAAACAAATAAACAATCAGTTCATTATTATCATGATCATTCTATTGTGGGTTAAATGTTTTTAGGGCTCTGAGGTTTTATTGCAAGGACGTTCCGATTTGTCCATCTCCGCTTGCATAATCCTGGTACAGAAGTCTCCCGCGTGATACATTCATAGTTTGATAAAACTAAAGTAAAACCACTTAAATAGCTCTGTCCACCGCCGCTTCTGGCTGAAAAATTACAAGGTGTTCCTACCTCTGCTTTTGTGTCCTGTGCCGGTGGGTGTCAAAATGTAGCTTTCGATGGGTGCCCTCAAAGCAAGGACAGGAAGCCATTGTCGGACGAATCTGTCTGTTCCGCTTTGGCCCCCCGCGAGCTCTTGGCGGGGTTGGGCGTGGTCGAGTACTTGGGTGGGTACCTGATGAAGAGGCGCTCCTCCTCCTTCTTGATCCAGCGGAGGAGCTTGGTGATGACGGTGATGGCGCACGCCTTGGTTACCAGTGGACTGAAGCACGTGTACAGCTCAAACTTACTTGTCACCTGTGTAAAAATCATAAACCAACAATCTTTAAAAATGAAACGAACAGCTTCAATGTCGTGGGCATACTACGCTGGCTTTGTCATAGGGAGAAAAGTATCTTGTCATTGCTCTGGCGACTGCTGACCACCTACTAGTCGTATGCCATCATGATGGAGCAACCAGAGGATACAGCCAATTTACAATTTGCCCTTTGATAACGCAGTGGTTCAGGGGACATTGTGTTGCTCCTACTGGAGTGTATGGCATGGCCACCTGGGCACAGTATAATACAGACACTCGGATAAACTGTACATAGAGGCCATCTTGGCTCCTCGGTAGGCCGCTGTTATTCGCAGAAGATAAAGAATTATCTGACTGTAAGTATTGTGATATTGTCTGTCTACGTGTGTTGCTCCACTGTGTTTAAATATCCATTGTTATTTGAGGACAAATATCTGTAATGTTACATTTCTGGAAGTTGCATTTTTGTGAAAAAATTGTAATGTGAGATTTAAGATGACATTTTGCGGACTTTTGGAAAAGTTATTTTCTAAGGTTATAATTTATGAAAATGAACGAAATAAATTAGAATTGGTGAAATAAAATGGTAACCAACAAAAACTACATTTTATGTTAAAAAAAACTAAAACTAAGAGTAAAAATGTCCTTTGTTTTCAGCTTGGTCAATGAATGTTATTGGGATGATTTTAAACGTTTTGATTACGGTATTGCTGTTATGACCGTAGAAGGAAGGTCGAGCAGCCATTTGGGAATTGCAGTTTTTGACAGAATAGTTGTAACCTTTAATTATTTTTATTTGCACCCCACACTTCGATGGGAAAAAAACTAATACTAAAACTTATCAAAAGTAAAATTAAAAACTAATTTAAAAATAAAAACTAACAAACCTAGCCTAAAGACTAATGAAAACTAATTGAAGCTGATAAACAAAAGTCAAAATGAAATCAAAAGCAACTGCAACTATAAATATCCCAAACTATCATGGTCTGATACGTACCCACGCCAACAGAGTTTCCCTCTCGGCTACGTGGTAGATGAGCTTAAGGGGTCGAGAGTTGCTGTGGATGCGGCCGTGCATGTAACGGTAAAGGTCCAGCAGCCTCATTTTCTCCTCCTCTGTGTGGTATGGGGCTTCCATCTCGGGGCTGCCGGGTGGAAAAAAGTCACCGTTGGGGGCATACATAAAAATCCATCAAAGTACATGTTCTGGAAAATTGATGTTTTAAATATCTTCTAGACAAATAGTCAGGTCTCCAGCGTTGGAGCCCATCCATTGTTGAAAATGCATCAGCGAGCGAGCTGTTCTGCACTTCTCCATCACTGTCATGTAACAGTGGGGCTCATTTACTGACCCCACACCTCGAGTCTCTGGCCATGACTTAACATCTAGGAGAGGTCACGATTCAAAACCACTTTTTTTCCATGCTTTCCACTTGATCACTTTGGTACTACTTGTTCAAATGATTCAACGAGTTCCTTGTATTGCCTTGATTCGACGACAAAGCATGCACAACAGATTCCTCCTCCATGTCACTCTGGAGATGCCGCGAGGGGAGGAATTTCTCTTGTCAAAATAGCTTCATCTTGGGAAGTCTCGGTTGGACTCTGATTATCTCGCAAAAAGTCAGTTGTGATACACTTAACCTCACTTGCAATGCTATGACTGACAGGAGACCAGTCCTTGGTGGACCCCGCATTTCTCTCACCAAAAGTCTGCTGCGATATGCTGTAGCTATCCTCAAATTGACTAGGAACCAGTTCATGTTGGACAATGTTTGTCAGGCAAAAACTCAGCTGGGATGGGTTCCAGCTCACACCCTAGCCTGCGACTTGCTGGCCACATAATGAGGACAAGCGCAACAGAACACCACGGCAAAAGCACGAAAGATGAAGAACAAACAAACCTGGTGAACTGTGTGAGCTGGCGGTGGTTGTCGGGCACGTCGAAGGGCTTGTACATGAAGTGCCTGAGGTCAGCGACACCGACCTGGCTCACACTGTACGTTTGCGCCTTGGCGATGAGGCCCAGCGAGCCTTGCGCTGCCATGGCCTCCTCGATGCGCCGCTTGCACTCAGCCACTGCGTAGAAGGCCTCCTTGTCGGTGGAGAGCAGCAGCAGGCACACGGTGCACTCGGGCGGGTCCAGGTACGAAATGTATGTGTAGAAGTAACAGTCGGGGTTGAAGAGCGGAAGGCAGATCGGCGTCCAGATCTCGCCGGCCTGGAAAGCGGAGGAGGCGCCGATGAGGTTGAGCAGCAGGTGGATGTCGGCGGGCTCCAGACGGGCGTCCTCAATGACCGCCCTCTCCTGCACCACGGTCAGCAGCTGGTTCTTGGCAATGAGGATAGAGAAGACCAGGTTGGGGGTGATGGCCTTCTGCAAGATCTGGCTGAGGGAGTCCCTGAGGGAGGAGGCGAGCGGCAGGCAATGCACGGCCGTCAAAAGGAAGCTGGGGTCGGAGTCCATCAAGTCCAGGAGGCCGTCCAGGATCTTCTCCGAGCCTGCCAGCAGCCGCCGCAGGTCGTAGTTCTTCTTATGTTCAAAGATTCGTGAGATGCTGGCCTGCGTGAGCATGCTGATGATCTGGTAGTAGACGTAGAGGAGCTCGCTGCGCAGCTGCTGCTCCGACTGTCGGCTGCTGGATACGCATACCAATACGAGGGGGCCTTTTTGGAGGAAGACCACTGTGTGCTCCTCTGATGGATATGCAGAAAAACACACAATTAAGTACAATTCAAAATATTACCCCCCCACCCCCCAAAAAAAAAAAACAAAAAAAGTCCAGTGTTTTTTTGGTCATTTATTTTTTTTCCAGAGCTCTATAATAAATTTATTGTAACATCACTACAGTACAAAACAAAAGCATGTTCTGTACCATTAAAAATTTTCTATTGTTTTTCTTTTATATAGAAAGGGCTTTATTATTATAATAAAAATCGGAATGTGAAATAAAATGATAAAACAATAACAATGAAATGTCATTATGTCCCCCACAGATGTTGTATTTTAGTGACGCTCACCTGAGTAGACGGAGCGTATGTTGTTATCTCCACTTTGCACAAAGGACACCAGTGCCATCATGACACCCATCGTAGACGACAGAGCTTCTTCGCTGCCATAGCGTGAATAGATGGGCTTTCCGGCTTCGCTCAGCACAAAAATGTGCTTCCTGTGCCGCCGCCAGCTTTCTGCCGTCACATCTTCGTCTCGGTGGGACCCGCCGTGGGCGGCCGGCGGAGATTCCTGGATTCCCACCTCCAACAGTGGTGACGAGTGACCCTTCACGCCGAGGCCTTGCTCCTCCAACTTGGCCTTGGCCAGGACAGTTACAACAAACTCTCCAGAGTCACTTTGGGTGCCGTCCGCCACGTCGTCCTGATGCTCCTGACTTTCTGGCTCGGTTGCTTGGAGAGAAAGTGAGCCTTCTGTGTCCTGAGGGGGTTCTTCTGGGACATCTTGTGCCCGTTCATCTTCACGGGCCGCCTTCCTGGCCACTACATCTGGAAACATGTGATTACCCAAAAGCGAAAGTGAGGTTGCCAAGGTGTCTGCTGCTGAAATGAAAACACAATGACAAACAGAATATGTCATGAGAAGGTGAACAGACAAATTGCAACATTATTAGCTTCGTGGTCGAGTTGAAATATTGAAATCGTCCTCCCAGTAATTAATCCTCTCATCCATTGCGGCAAATCAGATCGACTCCTAGTCAGGCAGCATCTCGGCCCGGGACAGGAAGAGATTGGAGCGACTAGTCAGGAAGGCTAGTTCTGTCCTGGGCTGCTCCCTCGACACTCTGGAGGAGGTGGGCAGCAGCAGGATGCTAGCTAAGCTAAAAGCTATGTTGGACAGTCCCTCCCACCCCCTCCAGCCCGCCCTGACAGCACTCGGTAGCTCCTTCAGTCAGAGACTGTTACACCCGCGTTGCAAGACGGAGAGATACCGCCGCTCGTTCCTACCGACTGCTGTCAGGCTGCTGAATAAAAAATGAATAAATAAATAAATCATAAAATTATTTAAATGATATGACAACAAATGTGAATGTGAATAGTACTGTGACTATTGTATTTATATTGCACTTAATTGAACTTATTGACCTTATCCATATTTGTATTTATATTGCACTTAATTGAACTGTGTTTTCTTTTTCTCTTCTTTCTACCCACAATCTTGCTGCTGAAGGCTGTAAATTTCCCCAGTGTGGGACAAATAAAGGATATCTTATCTTATCTATAAGTAGCACTTCAAGGTGGATGAGGAATATCTAACCATGCAATACACCGAGCAAGGAGAGCTTAAATGGAGACGTAAATGCTAAGGGAAAGATTTAAATAACCCATTTGCAAATTCTTGCTGATGACTTGTATACCTTTGCACTCTCCATTGCAGTCAAGTGAGTCAATTTCAATCGTGATATGAATTTCAGGCCATATCGCTCAGTACTCAGTCTCCATTTGGAGTACTGGTAGTGAAGTCTCTGACAAAAATATGGGAAAAAATATGTACGTATAATCTTATATTTTCTAACTAAGAATCGGTACAAAATGTGAAACATTTGTGGTTTAAACATTTTTTTACAAACACTATTACGGCAAGCAGTAGGTCTTGCTTTATGAACCATTTTTAAAAACCTCACATAGCCTTCTTTGTGTCTGTGCATGATTAGAATATTAGCTTTTAAGATTTTGATGGTGTGATGTGATTTTCTGTCACGTTTCTAGATGTTACTGTAAATAGTAAATGGTGCTCTTGACCGGATAAAAATTGCGAATTGAATCAAACTCGCAATTATCTGACAGAAAAATCACAATTAAATCTTGTCCTAAAATTGTTCAGCCCTACTTAATGGTGATAAGAAGACTCTCCATAACTGCCAATAAAATCTCAGGCTAAAATTAAAGGTCAACTTGTGAATCGTGAACTGCAAATATATGGAGGAATACTGTACCTGCTGTGTTAACTTCTAAGGGTGGACCACAAATCTTGACTCCCTGTGTCTCTCCCTCTTGATCATTGTCCGTGTCCATAATACCATCCCAGTCACTGGAGATTTTGAAAAAAACATATGAATAAAAGGAAAAATAGAACCGATGGCAGCAGGGCGATAATAGTGGTAAGCCCATCTGCTTCACAGTCAAGAGACCCTGGGTTCAAATCCCAGCTTCGGCGCTACTATATGGAGTTCCCATGCGTTTCATGTGTTTTCTCCGTGTAGTCTGGCTTCCTCCCACATCACAAAAACGTGTTAGGGTCAATGATTGATTTTAGGCTAATCAGAGCAGGGGTTTGGAAGCTCTGACCTGCCGAATTTTGCCATTTTCAGGAAAAACGGGCATGGCCACCTTATCTTAAACCCTTATATCTCAGGAACTACTGAGTCAATTTTCACAAAACACTGTTGGACAGTTGGAAAGGAAATTCAACAAGGATTCCAAATCTACAAAGATTTCGAAGATTGGTGCATATTTGAGTGATTTAGGTAGCCCGTGAGGACCACACCAACAGCCCGCCAGTGCTAGGATTGAGATTTGCTAGTTGAAATTATGATTTAAAAATGCAAACGCTGGCAGTATTGTGAGACATCTTTAAGATGATCAGAGCCTGAAAATTTAAATAAATCATTAAGTATTAAAAATAACACATTCTAATATTATTAAATGTGATTTGTCCAGATGTTATTTCGGATGTATATCAATTTGGTAGCCCTTCACACAATCAGTACACATGAAGTAGCTCTCACTCTCAAAAAAGTTGGTGACCCCTGTTTTAGAGAATGTGAGAGATTACATTTTATGAAGAAATGTCTTCGGGTCATGTGATATGTAAGGCCAACTCCAAGGTTAAATTATAGGTCAAAGAGTAAAGTTAGTAAAATATGTGCCAATCTTGATGCTTCCAAATGTGCATTCCTTGTTGAATTCCCTTTACAACAATAGATATTTTGTGAAGATTGATAGACTAGTTCCTGAGATATAAGGGCTCAAAGGAAGGCGGCGACACCCATTTTGCCAAACATATTAAAATTCGGTGGGCCATAGCTCGCAAAGCCCGGCTCCGAATGACCTTAAATTTGAGATTTACTGTTGTGCCAGTACAATCAACAAGTACACCAAGTTTCATTACAACCCAAATTCGCTTGGTTCAACACACTGGGTGATTCGGCAAGGAATATGTACAGCATGGAACTTGATTAAACAGTACTGTGTTGTACTGACATTCTGCCAGTTTATATTGACGACTATTTTTGAGACGGATGCATTTTAAGGGTACGAGGAAGGGGCCACTGATATTATTAACTGCTCAAAATACATTGACACAAACAACAGCTTAAATCTTAGTAAGGTTGCTTATTTTTATCACTGGGTTATATATGCAATATTGTAAATAGTCAAATCCAGCAATTGATTTTGAGGGAACAAATATATTATCTCACAAATTGGGTCACCAACTATGGCTTGGGGTGGACCATGTTTTCTGAAAACTATCCGGGATATAGTCCATCTGTGATTTTATCTCGACCAGTCAAAAGTGGAAATTGCCTTTGCTCACTCTCGACCAGTGGTTCTTCACCTTTTAAGAGGTACCGAACCCAACCAGTTTATATGCATGTTCACCGAACCCTTCATTAGTGAAAAATAAAATTTAGATTTTTTTTTACAAATTCAAGACATTAAAAAAACAAATTTGTTAAAAACAAAAAAGTAAAAAAAAAATACATGGCCTAAGTATATACATTAGTGAAAAATAAAATTTAGATTTTTTTTTTACAAATTCAAGACATTAAAAAAACACATTTGTTAAAAACAAAAAAGTAAAAAAAAAAATACATGGCCTAAGTATATATATATTTTTAATTGTATGACGTACTATCATGACAGTCACACGTTGACTACTACGCGAACTAAATTTCCCGCAGCACTGATTGGACAAGCAATGTAATGTGATCATCTGCAGCCAGTGATGGCCAAGCAGGCGTGTCATAACTAATTGACACCTTGAGTCGGATGTGTGTCTTACCCTCCATGGCAGAGGCTCTGTCGAACCCCTGAGACCGATTCACCGAACCCCTAGAGTTCGATCGAACCCAGGTTAAGAACCACTGCTCTAGACCTTGTGATTGACTGCTGACCAGTCCAGGGTGGATCCAGTTTATCTTGACAAAAGTCAACTGTGATAGGGTGTAACTAACCCGTAGCCTTAATGAGAACAAGTTCTACAGACAATGAATAGATACTGAGCAGCGAGATGCTTTCCTGTGTGCCGGTAAGTTCCATTTTCTGTTCTATGGTTATCATCACACTTGCCCTCTTTTCAAGTACCCCCCTGCTGCACCACCACAAAAAAAATACACAAAAAGCAATTATACACACGGAATTAAACCTCAGACAAAGTACCGCTAGATTTTCTGACATACCGCGTGACGACCCAAGATAGGAAAATAACTTGAGGTCGTATCAAAGCAGACATCCCAAGACTCTTGCACAGTACCATGCATTAATGGCAGCAATTTTACGAACGTGGCGTCACATGACGACAGAGCTGCTGGTGGAATATTATCACATCGAGTACTCTATGGAATTAACTAGGCACGTCTAGATAATACCTCACCACAAACACAAGTAAAGTACTGTATTCAACCGTGACTTAGCGGCTGCCAAGAGGCTAACCTTTCGTCAATAATTAGCTTTCCGTTGCACCTTTTTGTGTGATGGTATCTTGCACGCCACGGTGAAAGGGTATTTTCAATTCTTAGCACACACATATGTATATCAAGTCAGTAAATGGTGATGCCAGTGGTTAGCGTGACCTACTAGCAAGCGACACACACACACACACACACACACACACACACACACACACACACACACACAGTTGAATTTAAGCCCCGGCTTAAGAGTCGTCAAAATAGTGAGCCGCAATCACAACCACAACAACAGGTAGAACTTACGTTTTTTATGTACAGACGAAAGCAGAATTCCTAAAAATGCTACATCAAGTCTCGTTGGTCATCAGCCTTGATTCTAGCCGTCAATGAGAAGAAAGCAAACGCTTCTCTCTTCTCGCAGGCAATGCATCCGGGTTCGGTGACGTCACGCTGATTCAGCCAATCGGGTCGCTCGTTGACTCCAGGCGACCCCGCCTTCAAAGTATGTTTTAAACGGCGGTAAGAGCGGGTTTCTTTTTCAAAAGGTCGAAATGTTAACAAAAAAGACATAGAGAGTAGAAATTTGTAACAATAAAACACAATTATTGCTTATTTAAGTATTGGCTCGCTTGATTTGGCAATGTGCTACCTAAACTATGTCAAATCATCCCGTATCCACCAATAACACCACCGTCAATTTGCAACGCAACGTACGCCCCCCCCCACCCAACACACACACACACACACACACACACACACACACACACACACACACACACACACACACACACACAAACATATATATCTCAC